AGCAGGGAATTTATGTTTTTTTTTGTTCACATCTCATCCTTTTTTTTTCCATTCATTTCCAATGTTTGTCGACTTGATATATAGCCTGGTTAAGGATGTACTTATGTGATGTTTATGAATTTGTGTATAGCTTGTTATGTTTCTTTACAAAAGCTTCTCCGACTTATAGTATCTATCTATCTATACTACTTAAACGAGAAGACCTCATTTTGTTAGTCGCTTCTCTTCCTTTCATAATAAATTAATCATCATGACTCTGTGTTCTATAGGTTCCATGCATAGTTGCATTTGTCATCTATTCTTATGATTCTACTGTTTGGGTTATTTTAGGAGAAATCAATTTAGCAGTGATCGCCGTGTAGAAGAAACTTGGAATTGATAGTTTATATCAAATATACTTTATTGATAATAAATGTATGTTCATAGTATACAGAAACGCCAAAATAATGGTATTTAACAGAAAACAAAAAAAATAATGCTCTTTGGAGAAAAGGGAGAGGGCTTGAAAAAAATTGTCCCGTCTCCAGGAGTCCCTATGAATTTTGATACCTTTTCTGAAATTATCCAGATTTATAAAAAGAGATGGACCATTTTGTACATATACCAAGGGGAAACTTCGTGCAAAGCATTATTATTTATAGTTTAATTGAATTTAGTAGAAAAAGAAAATTTGGTGAAAATAAAACCAAGATTTTTTTAGAAAATCCACAGATTTTAAGACCGAGATTTTTATACGATTCCAATTTTTTTTTGGGGGGATCGTATAATGGTATGATGTGGTTGTTGTCGTCTACGTCGTCCGAAGACACATTTGTAGTTTCTGGACTATTATTTGTGTGTAAGTGTATGGATCTCTCTGACATTGTACCACAAAGTTCCATATCACAAAAGGAAGGCTGGGATTGAGTTTGGGGGTAATTGCCCCATTCATGAAGGAATTCGGGGCCAAAAAACATTTTTTTAGTTATTCTAGTTTTTCAGACAATAACTTGTGTTTAAGTCACTGTATGGATCTTTCTGAAATTGTACTACAAGTTTCCATACTACAAAGGAAAACTGGGATCAAGTGTTGAGGTTATTGCTCCAAAGGGCGGGGGGGGGGGGGGGGGGGGTGGTTGTGAGTTCAAAAAGTTTGCAGGTTTCCAAATTTTTAAAAGGGGTTTAATTTTTTTTTCAAAATTTTTCAAATTTTAAAATATTTCAAAAGTTTCAAGAAGAAATCTTTAATTGCACAGTATTGCCCAATAGATTTGAAAGACCTTTACACATGTTTTGTGTCAGAAACCTATATTATGTCAAAAATTTGATCACAATTTCAGGGGTTAAAAAATCCACTAGCCCGACGCCCGGGACTAGACTTTTACACTTCGGGCAATTAAAACTTGTAACCGAATATGCCCGACGGACTAGTAACAAACAATTCTTGGCATTTCCAAAATAGTAAGTGGAAAATCCCCTCATCGCTATTCTATCTTAGCCAATCAGATTCAATTACGTACGTCATCCGGGATTCCAAGAATTTAAACCGATTTTGTACATGTTTTAAAAATAGAACAACTAACTCTGGGTGGACCGGTATCATGTATTGATCGCAATTCACGTACTTTCAATATCAATTTCTCAGTACAGGGGGTATTGTACATTGCTTATGCCGAGATTTTCAATTAATGGTACTTGGGTGTATGATGTAATGATCGATATTGACCTGTCTTGTCGGACAGCTGTTAATTTGAGCTTGAAACCATGCACAAATTATTTCTAAACATTTTAGTACGGCCACCACAGGAACTTTGTCAGTTTTAAAACGAAAAACGGTAGATGAAGGGGGTAATGAGGCTGAAAATTTATCCCAAAAAATGCCAAATACGACCAGGAAAAGCGGAAAAAAAACATTTATAGTGTCATTGACAGAAAGATTCCCCATGGGCAAGGTCGACTGTTACTGATGATAAACAAGAGATGATGTTTTGTGAATATTGCCGTTATTTTCCCGATCTCGCTGATAAAAAGTCTGCTTTGTATGTGGGAACAACAAATATACGAATTGAACCACTGGTTTAACATGACAATATCAATGAACATGTTTTCTGTGCCCGAAAATATTTAACAACCCATAGTACAAGGGATATCCAAAAAGATGTCTAGAGATCCCTGTTATAATTAATAAAACAAAAATTCATTTGATTTATTTAATCAAATACCGTGTATAATGCCGGATTCAAAACAAGGGACATCCACTCTAAATTTGAAAGGTATACTCGGGCTAGCAGGTCAGTTTTGATGGGCTAGCAGCTCTTTCAACAGGGCTAGTAAAATCCTGCTACCAATAAGTCCTGGGTTAGTGAGCTGTAACACATTTTTTTAACCCCTGACAATCCTAATTCAGACAGTAATAAGCTTGAATATTGTGTCAAAATTTGCCCCAACTGTTCATGGTTCAACTTCTGCGGTCATATCAGGCTGCGCTCAGCGCCGAAGCATTTTATTTTTGTTATAATATTTTAAACATATATAACTCAATTAAAAAAATCATTGCTAGCACTGAATGCAATAATCCTTCATCAAAAAAGCATCGAATCGCCAAATATGACAGTACAAGGGAAAAGCTGTGGATTTTCTAAAAAAAAATCCATATGTTTAGCATTTAATCAACACAAGGGTACATAATCCTTAAAGGCCTTTGAGAACGTAACTTTATAGCAAGGAACTATAACGTATGCAGATTTTCTTTGAACACATACATCCAGACCCTCACAAACATACATAATCAATAAGTTCCGATCCTATTACCTAACCCCACTTGACATGGATATAGATAATTGTCATCCATGGGGTTTTCTCATCCGTTTTGAATATAACATTGCTATTAAAACGGGTACGTTATAAAAAAAGAAGACGTGGTATGATTGCCAATAAGACAACTCTCCACAAGAGAAATGACACAGAAATTAACAACTATAGGTCACTGTACAGCCTTCAACAATGAGCACAGCCAATATTGTATAGCCAACTTTAAAAGGACAACATACTAGGAGTCCATTACATCAGATATAACATATAGAGATGTATAAATACGCAGTCACGTATACGTCCGATGCTTAATTGTTGACTTTGTTGGAAGACAAAATGATTAGCCCTATACTGACTGGAACTAGTATATATATAACTGAAACTAGATGAAAATCAAGGAATCTACACATGCTGTAATAGCAAATCTGAACGGAACCAAAACGCATGTTTGTAAAAAAATAAATAATATACAACTTACATTTCAGCAACTGTTATATTAGTAATTATTAATGATGTAGTTCGTGAATAAATTGTCCTACACAGTGGAACAAATGGACAGTCTAAGTACGTTAATGTCTGGATTAATATTTCTGCAAAGACGTTGTCATTTTATTGTTTCCATTAACCGACTTAAATAAAAATCAAATTATAACTTTGTAATTATTATAAATGTTTACCTTTTGAAATAAATTTTGGTTTATTGAATATATTTACGGGAAAAACGAACTCAAATGTTTTATTTCCATGTATTTTATGACATATTAAAAAACATCTTTGTGTAAAAGAAAAATCGAATCACATCAAATTTTGATCGGCCGTAAAATAAACTTCACATCACTTTATTTATATCACAAATCAATTTACAAAAAACTTCTCAACGATGTCATAATAGAAAGCACGAGTGATCTATCTGGCGGACCAACTTGTGGCTAATGATTGACAGGTATGATTAGATCTTGAGGCTCCTATGGGGAACGTGGTGTCGAAAGGAAAATAGAAGATTATTCAATTATAATTTTTAGGACTCGTACGAAATGTGATCTGATATGGAAAATTTTGAGTTCTTTTAATAGCACAAAGAAATAAGACGTTAGAAGGGTTACAAATGTGTAACTATAAACCAATGACTCGTATGTAATTTACGGGAAAGATTTTATCAAAAGTTTGTTGAAAACTTTCAATTTCAAACCTTCTTGGTTGGAATGAATATGTTCGATTTATATGCAAATAGGTCTTTATTATATAATATATTTAAATTATCTTCATTAAATTACAATACAATATATAACATGTATCTATGATATCCTCCGTAACGACTAAATATATGTACAGGTAAAATTTAATTCTGATCAATCGGGTACAGATTGATTTACGACCTTCCACTGGTATTGCACAAGCAATATCACAGCAGGTGTTAAATACACTAGGACAAGTGTCAGATCAGTTTGACATCCTGCCCGATTACGGTATCTTCCGGAGACTCTATAAGTACAAGGACTTATTTTTTTTCTAAACATGACAATTGTGAAGAATTTTTTAAAGTGAGAACAAAGTTTCTGACCCAAACTATCGATTCACATTATGAATCTATCATGCATAGTAGATTAGTTTACGTTTTTTAACGTAAATACGATTTCCATTCATATATTAAAAAAAATTGTAGTTGTCTTTTGCAAAGATAACACATGTATTCATCTTGTTCATTGGTCACATTAAAATAGATTTTTCTTTAATGAACAATGACAACATTTGATATTTATATCGTAAGTAACTTTATTATCAAAAACACCGTTTTATCTCGACCGAAAAGGGAAATAAGAGTTTTTTTAATCTGACTGTAAACATTGTATATATCACAACGATCTATTAATAACCGTCGCTCACGCATAACGGATTCTATAATCATCTATGTACAACGATCTATTAATAACCGTCGCTCACGCATCACTGGTTCTATCACTGACTCAATACACACCCGTTTTATCGGACAAACGGCTAATTCCCGCCGACACGGAAAATCTCCGGATAACATGCATAATATTCTGTAATACAGCAAATTTACGATGAACCTCTAATTTTTATCCGTTTCGCGGAGATTAGCCAAAAATCGCGGGCATTTTCCAAATAGGTCTACCAGTGTTACCTATCTGGTTAATTACATATATATGACCAATGTGCCAATCTATATAATATAGTTACCCAATAATTACCTATATTCATCTATCTGGTTAATAACATATGTATGACCAATGTGCCAATCTATATAATATAGTTACCCAATAATTACCTATATTCATCTATCTGGTTAATTACATATGTATGACCAATGTGCCAATCTATATAATATAGTTACCCAATAATTACCTATATTCATCTATCTGGTTAATAACATATGTATGACCAATGTGCCAATCTATATAATTTAGTTACCCAATAATTACCTATATTCATCTATCTGGTTAATAACATATGTATGACCAATGTGCCAATCTATATAATATAGTTACCCAATAATTACCTATATTCATCTATCTGGTTAATTACATATATATGACCAATGTGCCAATCTATATAATATAGTTACCCAATAATTACCTATATTCATCTATCTGGTTAATTACATATATATCATGTCTAATTTTCTGATGATTAAGATAACGATGTATGTATGGTGCAAACTCCAACAATTCTTCTAATCTGTCCCTAAAAGGAACTAGTACTGCTAGTTTGTGACGACCCCATGATTTGTTGTCATGATCTTTCTGACATGAAATATTGGATTCGGTCGGTGTCACGGTCTGGCCATCTTGTAATGAACATGAAGACAAGTAGATTATAATAAAAGAACACAGAAATATTCCTAGCACCAGGAATCGGGTTGAGCGAAGTACTAACCATCCTCTAGCCATACATAGAACTCAATCTATTAGCACATCTGAAAAGTAAAAATGAATTATACATCAGGTCTATATAAATACAAGGACCCATAGCTGCTAACATCTACATCATTTGGTCTCTAGTGGATAGTTATCTCATTGGCAATCATACCTCATCTTATTTTATACAAACTAAATTATCTGTACGAACTAAAGATGTTCATTTCTAAATGATACATTTTATGAATTAAAGAGATGTGGTGTATACATCAATGAGACATCATCCCAACAACATAAATAATAGCCTGAAGTTTTGGGGACCACCTTAATAATAAAGACTTTACAACATATACAGATGTGTATCAGTATTGTCAATTTTTCCCCTTTTTCCTTTGGGATTTTTTTTCATTTTTCATGTTAAATACTGGTATAATTATAATTTAAATTGATTTATATTTCTAAGTTTTATTTATATTGCAAAGAATGTTTTTCCAAAAATTGTATTTGCAATTTATTGATTGGTATACCAAACTAAATAAAAAAAAAAGATATACATATATATATATATATATGTGCTTATACAATGGGTTTTGTTTATACAAGCCCTTTTTGCATCCAGTTTAAAAAAATTGTTAAAGAGAAAAGATATCTTAAACTCAGGATATTCAACTTGTGTTCATATATAAAAATGTTTTATAGTCTCACATACATGTAAAGAGCATAGAGTGGGTTTTGTTGTAACTTGTGTGTTCATTATGTTGTATCTGGGACTAATGCAGACTGGGACAAATAGATATGGTAATTTGAGAAAGTGCATTGTTTATACATCTTTTTCCTGATTATTTATCAATAATTTTTATATGGTTGGCAAGAGGATGTTATATAGGATAGCTTGGTATATTTTTTATTGAATTGAATTTTAATTTTCATAAAAAAAACATTGAAAATGCATTTTTTTAAAGAATTGATGTTAACATTTTTTTTTAAAGATGGGGGATTATTCTTTGTATTAAAAAACATACACATCCTTATAAAAATATACAAATTCCATAAACTGTTAAAGGGAAGATAAGAAGGGGAATAAATATATCTAAATTCACTGCATTTTGGTGAGTTTAGACCAAGTTATGCAATTTAGCTTATTGTCTCGAGTGAATCACTGAAACTTGAGGTTACATGGTTACTAAAGCTTGTACACAGGAAAAAAAGGGGTGAAAATTTGATTGGTTAACTTCCAGTGATGGTTATTATCTTATATGTACTGAAATGTTATGTGAAATTTTGTCTGTAGTACTGGACAGAATAAAACTTTACTCATGCCAAGTATTTCATTATTTGAAACAAAGATAAATCTGTTTTTTTTTAAAAGTGCAAATTTAACAAAGACTAATAGGGGAAAAACAATGGTGGTATTACACCTATAGCACTGATTTGACAAGTAAAACAGTTTCCAATTGCATTCTTTTTTTTTTTAAACAGAATCCATTTTTCATATATTTAGAAAAAAAATACATTGGTTAATCTATGATAATAATTCTTAGTGACATAAACATTGTATACTATAATATAATAGTTACAAGTAAATAAGTAGCTCAGGGACACTGAAAAATCTAATCATTGTTGAATACTACTAGAATATAAGAAAACAATGTAGGAAGATGTGGTATGATTGCTGATGAGACAACTTTCCACAAGAGACCAAATGATGTAGATGTTAGCAACTATAGGTCACCATATGGCCCTCAACAATGAGCAAAACCCATACTGTATAGCAAGGTATAGAAGTTTAAAGTTCTGTCATGAATAAGTCTCAGATACTGATTAAGTATACTCTTTATATATATAAAAGAATTGTCATATAACTCCTGGTGATTCTAAGTATTTATACATACCTGGTTTTCAAATCTTTATGTTTAAACCGTTTGAAAAGATTTGTCTTTTAATATAACATAAACTACAACTGTACCAATTCAACACTGTAATTAGATCTTTGAATATTGTTTTTATTGGTATTAATATTGATTTTGTTATCAGAAAATTATAATCAAACTAAATATTATTTTTGTATACATATGCACATTCATGGCTCATCTGTCAACGTATATTTGTTCCGCCTAACAGAAGTTCCACTGTAAACTTTGTTATAAACAATGTCATAATATCTATTCCTGTTGGAACAAATATTCTATACCATTTATTCCGTTAGGAACATATACTGTAATATTTATTTCTGTGGAAATAATATTCCAGAATATTTTTTCCTTTTGGAACTTATATTATGAAGGAACTTCTATTCCGTGACACTACAATCTGTTGATACCTGTATCTTGGCATTGCACAAGGTCTTGTTTTTCTCTGACTGTTTATGACGTCTTTACACTAAATCCATTGGATGTTAGATGTGTACTGATTGATTGCATGATTTTTTGTTATTAGTTGTTATTGGCTTTGAACTAGCTGTCAGTTACTGCGAGAATTCTCAGGTCTGTTCTTAGTATCTTTTTGTTGTGGGGATGTATAAGAACCGTCCACTCTGTGTTTTTGTTAGATGTATTTCTATTTGTATCCATCTGATGAGTTAAGCCTCTTTCAACTGATTTTTATAGTTTTTTCTTATGTTGTACTGTTACACCTCTGTCCCAGGTTTGGGGAGGGTTGGCGCCTTCAAATGAGTTTAACCCCGCCACATTCTGCATGTGCCTGCCCCAAGTCAGGAGCCTGTAATTCAGTGGTTGTTGTTTGTTGCTGTGTATAGAAATAAGAAGATGTGGTATGAGTGACAATGAGACAACTCTCCATCCAAGTCACAATGTGTAAAAAGTAAACAATTATAGGTCAAAGTACGGCCTTCAACACGGAGCCTTGGCTCACACTGAACAGCAAGCTATAAAGGGCCCATATTTGTTTTTTTTCGTTCATTATTTTGTACATAACTTAGGCCAGTAGTTTTCTCGTTTGAATAGTTTTACATTTGTCATATCGGGGCCTTTTATAGCTGACTGTGCAGTATGGGCTTTGCTCATTGTTGAAGGCCGTACGGTGACCTATAGTTGTTAATTTCTGTGTAATTTGGTCTCTTGTGGAGAGTTGTCTCATTGGCAATCATACCACATCTTCTTTTTATATTGGTAGGCCTTTTTTAAGTTTCAGGTATATTTCTTGGTAAATTCATAAATCTCATAATCAAAGCATTGAAAAATCCGCACATAACTGTTTTGTTTTAAATCAGATAACCAGTTGAGAGGGTCAGATTCAAAATGTTTGGCAGAAAAGAGAGATTGCCAACATACCGGAAGTTTCTTTCATACCAATAAAACAGAAACCAGTTGCTGGAAAAAATACGAAAATCCGAAATTCATTAAATAGTTAAAAGGGGGAGAAGATAGCAAGGTATATCACCAGAGACATATAGTACAACTGAATTATATGTCTCTGCTATCACATAGACAACTGAAGATTGAGAAACATGAATCCGAACCACGGATGCTCATTCTATTTTTTTAAGATATAACGGATCTGGGACTATTATGTTAGTATAATAATCCCAGAACGGATACAAAAAAAATCACTCAGACTAGTAATATGTGTATATGTGTAATATATTGATGTTTTGTTCTTAAAGTAATTAAGTTTTGGTGACAGATCTTCATTTATTGAAATCTTATCTAGACTCCCAAATCATCATTTCGAGAGTTCTTTGTTCAGTAATGATACTGACCTTGTATACTATTAATGACCCAGGCCAGGTCTGGGACATAATATATTGAGTAGTAATATTAGGATTATAGTCCCAACCCCAACCGAGTAGTTCTACTGATTCAGCCATTTCGAAATTTTGCATTGTCAAGGAAATCGTTTATTTAAAAAAGATTAATTTCCACAGAGGCACAAAAAATATGTAGTGCTATAAACACTAAACAATAATACAATGTATATATGTCTCTGATATGTCTCAGATTTCCATTAATACTTAAATAGTGTAAAAGAAAACTTATGTTGTGGAATAGAAGTAGAATTAAGAACACAGACTATTGAAAGTCGTATACATATCTACAGAAAATACGCACGTGGATATAATTGGTCAATGCTCTATAATGTAAGTCCACTTTCGCTTGCTCATCCTCTCTTCATGTAAAAATAAGGAAACTAGTAGCTAGAGACCAAATGCAGTAGAAGTTAGCAAGTATATGTCATCTGATACGCACTTCAAAAATAAGCAAAATTCATATCGTATAGCAGAGACATATTGTATTATATTGTCTCTGCGTATAGTAACCGGCATGACCAAATGAAAAACAAAATCAGAAAACCAACGGACTGATTTATGATAAACAATAAATGTGTTTGTGTGTGTGTGT